ATGTTTATCACTTTATTGAACTTCTTTATGGCTTTATTCTAAAAATATAGAAGATCTACTCGACGATTTCAATATACAGGGTGTTTCGGGATTAAGTCGACAAACTTTAAGGAGATATTCCTCACAAAAAAAATAAGAAAAAAATCAAGTATACATTTTTTCCATAGACGCTTCATTTTCGAAATATAGGGCGTTAACGATTTTTTAAAAAATTCGAATTTTTTAAATAACTTCTAAATGAAGAAGGCTATTTAAGCCAAATTTGCCATGACATATCTTCTTCTTATAAGATATCATTTTTCCATAGAAGTAGAAGTTCCGCAAGCAACCAGTGGCGGAGTTATAGGGACTCAGACTCATTAAATTATAAAAAAAATTAATACTGAAAATAAAAAATGATGCTGTTTTTAGATAGAATAGTGTGTTATTGACAAATTTGTCAAAATGTGTACATTCACTTTTTTCCTAACTCTTATAGTTTCATGGCAAAATTGATTTTTCGGAAGGGTGCTTCTGGATTCTGTCGATAAACTTTAGGAAGACGTTCCTCATAAAACCTAAAAAAATATAGTACCTATTAAAATTGGTCTTAGTCTCAAGTATGTGTGAGTCAAATAAGCCTTTTTGTCTCCCCTTCCCTTGGGTTTAACCAATAGTATTAAAATTATTCAGGAGATGATTCGTTTTTGAGATATAGGGTTGTTTTTTTAGAAAAAAAAATGATGAAAACAATAGAAATATTTAAGTACCTAACATCTAATGTGACTATGTCGTAATGCGACAACGTAACGACCCTTGCAATACTCCTAAATTTTTTCAGGCGGTTTGTAGTCACTTCATTTACTTGTGTTGTGTACTTTTAAATAAAATAAGATGGCAAACAATACATGAAAATTTATTTGTAAATTGAAACAACCAAAAAATTACCAATTAATATTATACCTAGACAAAGCGAAAAGTGAATCAAAAATGAAATGATTTAAAAAATATTTTGTTCAAAATGGGCGCCTCCGGACTGTAGACAAGCACGACATCTTCTAATTATGGAGGTAGTGGCCGATCGACACTGAATTGGAGTTAATTCTCGACACGCTTGGACTATTCGCTGTCTTAGATCTTCTAGGGTATCAACTGGCACCTCGTAGACTTTTTGTTTAACAGCACCCCAAACGAAATAATCCATCGGTGTCAAGTCCGGTGAACGTGCGGGCCACGCTGCAGGTCCTCCACGACCAATCCATCTCCTGGGATAATTAATGTTTAACCACTCCCTAGGACCTCTACCAAAATGGGCAGGACAACCATCTAGTTGAAACCAACTGTTCATTCGAGTATTAAGCGGAACATCTTCTAACAGATCTTGAAAACCATTTTCAAGGAACTCGGTAAACATGTCAGCGAAAAGAAGTAGGGACCAACTATAGTGTTGTCCAACACACCCAACCATATGTTACATTGGAATTCATGCTGAAAACTATGTTCCCTTACCGCCCGTGGATTCTCGTAGGACCAAAAAATATGGTTGTTCCTTTGGTTTAAAATTCCCCTTCGAGTAAATGTTGCCTCCTCTGTCCGTATTACTTTTTGCGTAAACTGATCATGATTCTCTACTTGGTTTAACATCTAGTCTCAACGCCTGCATCGTACGTCCTGAGGCAATAAATGTTGCACACGCTGGAAATGGTACGCATGGCGTACATCAGCCCGAAGAGTCCTTCAAATGGAACTTGACGAAATACGTAGCTCATAGCTAGATCTTCTGATACTCGTGGATGGATTTTCATCGAAATGGTTTAAAATAGTATTCGATCTTACTTTGTCCTGAAGTGGGGCAAAATGTCAATCAGCATAAGTTGGAATATCGAAAGACCCAGTTTGTCTGAGACGATTGAATGTCGTTGAAAATGTTTCCTTTGCTGATAGTCTGCGATGAGGAAATCTTGCATATTCACGGCGAGCCGCCGTTGCATTTCTATCACAAAAACCATATACAAAGACCATATCAGCATATTCATTGTTTGAAAATATGGACGGCATTATTAAACTTATTTTTATTATTAGTTTGAACGATTTATCTAATGGATAATTTATGCAACAATTCCCAAAATAACAATTAAAACGTCAAATTAACATTGCTTGACAGCAACCTACTCGAAAATTTTTGTTGAGGTTCATTTTAGAGTTTATCGACAGAATCCAGAAGCACCCTTCCGAAAAATAAATTTTGCCATGAAACTATAAGAGTTAGGAAAAAAAGTGAGTGTACACTTTTTGTCAGTAACAAACTGTTCTATCTAAAAACAGCATCATTTTTTATTTTCAGTAGGGCCGTATTAATTTTTTTATAATTTAATGAGTCTGAGTCCCCATAACTCCGCCACTGGTTGCTTGCGGGACTTCTACTTCTATGGAAAAATGGTATCTTATAAGAAGATGTGTCATGCCAAATTTGGCTTAAATAGCCTTCTTCATTTAGAAGTTATTTAAAAAATTCGAATTTTTTTAAAAATCTTTAACGCCCTATATTTCGAAAATGAAGCGTCTCTGGAAAAAAA